AGATGGCAGAGGCGCACAGGGCAGGACATGGGGGAAAGTGTGGAGCCTCCATGCCTTCTCAGGAAAGCCGAGTACCTAGTACTCTCCTAGTATCTCCATATGGTCACCACCCCAGAGGCGTCATAATCCTGAAAACCTTTTGACCTTTGTGGAAACTCATTACACTGGCCTGATTGGTGAAACCACTGGCCATCGTGATTGAACTCAATCTCCAGCCCCTTTCCCCATCCATAGGTCAGGGGCTGGGACCCGAAGTCCCAACCCTCTCATCACAAGATGGACCTTCCTGGCAAGAAGCCCCCAGCAATACTTGCTTCCAAAAGGTGCTTTATTAATACAAACACAAGTACCTTTATCCCTCCATCACTTAGGAAATTACAAGGGTTTTCAGAGTTCTATGCCAGAAACAGGGATGAAGACCAAGTGTCTATTTCTTATTAAAAATCACAGGGCACTGATAGTGTCTGAGGATGCTCCTGGTTTCACAACAGCACCCCCTTTCTATTTAAAAAGGATAGGACATGGATTTAGGAGCCAGATTTCCATTTAAAACAGCCTCTCTTTCCTAGAACAAGCTACCTTTTTTTTTGACATGTACACACTACTTTATTTATTTACGGCTGCACTGTGTGTTGCTACATGCCGGCTTTCTCTAATTGTGGTGCACGGGCATTTGATTGCAGTGGCTTCGCTTGTTGCAGAGCACATGTTCTAGGAGCACAGGCGTCAGTAGTTGCAGCTCCCAGGCTCAGTAGATGCAGCTTGCTGACTCTAGGGCACATGAGCCTCAGGAGTTGCAGCCTAAGGGCTCATTGGTTGTGGCCCGAGGGCCCTAGTGCGTGCAGGCTTCAGTAGTTGTAGCTTGAGGGCTCTAGAGCATGGGTCCGTACTTGTGATGGACCGGGGCAGTTGCTTCCTGGCATATGGATCCTAGACCAGGGATGGAACCCACGTCCTGTCCACTGGCAGGCAGGTTCTTATCTATTGCGCCACTAGGGAAGTCCTAGAACAGACTGTTTCTGAATGTGCATGCTTGAAGCTAGGCACCTCTCTCCTGAGAGGTGTGAAAGGTCTTCCTTTTTTCTCCACAAGAGTAGAATGGAGAGTAAACTGATGCTGAGCGGGGTGAGGGGGTGGTTAGGAGTGGGGAGGTGGAGGTAGTGGGGTGGTAGGGGGTGAGGGTGGGGATCTGGCTAAACCACATGCAGCAGTTTTGAGCAGGGCCAGCAGCGTTTTGGGGTGGTGGAGTCCTATGTTCCACACCACAGGGCAGATGGTATATTTCAGAGGGCTTTCCCCTCTCATCTGCTAGCACAGCTTTCTCTTTCCAGATTGTAGCTGACTGCCACAGTTCATCCTCGTAATACATTCAGGTGGCACATGCCATCTTTCCTCTCTTAGCTCTCACTGCAACCTCAGTTAGGTATCAGTAGAATCTGATAGAAAATCCTCACTTTTGTTTTGGTTTTGTTTTCTGTTGCAAAACATGCTGGAACTGTGTGAAAATGTTTGTCTTAATTCAACAGAGCATAGTCCCCAGTTGATGAGAAAAACAACAAAACAAGCAAAATCGAAATCTGAGAGGAACAGCAAGATTTCACACTACTTTAGATTTTTACTCCAGTTTGCAGAAGTCTCAGCCCTTCAGCCCACAAATATAACTGCCCAAGGGACACCAATGCCTAGATTCACAGCTAATCTTGAGAAAAATTTTTTCTCACCCTTTTACCTCCCATGTTCCTCCTGTGGATAACTAGAGTCAGCAGCAGCTGGAAGAAAATGGCAAGGACTTGGATGAAGAATATGTCAGAATAATGTCACTGCAGACCATTCATCAGCTCTTCAGTACGTGTCCCTTTTCCTGGGAGGTTGGGGGTTTATAAAGATCCTAAAATAAAGCTTATTTTATATGCATACTGTTGGCTATCCTCTTTTTGTAGAAATCAAAATTATAAAACTTTCTTTCTTCAGCCCAAAGCAAAGAACTCAAACATTAACGTGCCCACTACATTTATACCCCAGAGTGATAGAAACCAAGGCTGAATGCATACTTCATCCCAAAATTACATGTTATTGAGCACCTGATATTACATGTGAGTTGGACTATAAGGAAGGCTGAGCATGGAAGAATTGATGCTTTTGAACTGTGGTGTTGGAGAAGACTCTTGAGAGTCCCTTGGACTGCAAGGAGTTGCAACCAGTCCATCCTAAAGGAGATTAGTTCAGGGTGTTCACTGGAAGGACTGATGAAGCTGAAACTCCAATACTTTGGCCACCTGATGTGAAGAGCTGACTCATTTGAAAAGACCCTGATGCTGGGAAAGATTGAGGGCAGGAGGAGAAGGGGATGACAGAGGATGAGGTGGTTGAACGGCATCACCGACTCAATGGACATGAGTTTGGGTGAACTCCGGAGGTGGTGATAGTCAGGGAACTGGCGTGCTGCAGTTCTTGGGGTTGCAAAGAGTTGGACACAACTGAGCGACTGAACTGAACTCAATATTACATGGAAATATTCATTGGGTCCAACTGTCTGGGAACCAAGGTACTCAGGCAAAAATTTCTGCCCCCCATGTTGCGCATCTGCAAGCAGAGCAGTAGTCTCATACCTATCCACCTGACGGGGGACCCAAGGACACAATGATAGAACTTCTGCCGGAGAAGGATCCTGAGAGTCTGCTGTTCACTGCTGGACTTCAGCAAATTTTAGGAGCCACAGAGAGAGAGCTAACATACCTAGATGGAATTACTGTGGCTGAGTCACTTCAGTCGCATCTGATTCGGCAAGAGTAGCAGAGTGGGTTGCCTCGCCCTCCTCCAGGGGACCTTCCCAACCCAGGGATTGAACCCATGTTTCCTAGCATTGCAGGTGGCTTCTTCATCGCTGAACCACCAGGGACGCCTCCTAGATGGAACTCGTGGCTTTCAAATTATTCCACTCATTTGGAGTTTTTTTCTGAAAATAAATTTCTCATACCCTCTGTCTGTCTTTTGCTTTTCAATATAAAATCAGGACATCTCACTCAGAAGCTGTAAAGCATGTAAGATAGCCTCCTACTTACCAGAGTCCCAGGTTAGAAAGCTGATTCTTCTAAGGAGGGCAAATCCTGGGTGGCAGGAAGGGACCTTTACATGGGTTTGTACCATACACCAGTGACTTACATTTTCTTTACCAGTAAGTGGCATTGATCTCTGTCACACCCTTCCGCAAGGGAGAGACCCATTGAGAGCCAATGTTTAGTCCAGGACTCAGCTCTTCACAGCTTCCTGTGTTTTATAATCATTTCTGACCCCTCCCCCGCCACAATTATTTACCTTGAAAATTTTCAAACCAACAGAAAATTGAAAAGAATCATACAACAAACGTCTCTATTCTGTTCATCTAAATACAGCATTTTCTCCTTTTCTCTGTCTGGGCTGACACACACACTCCTATCACTTTATTAAATGCAGACAAAAAGCCTGCTTCACTGCCAAACACTTCAGCATGTATTTCCTGATATTAAGGACATTGTCCTATACAACCATATCAATGATCAAATCTAAGTACATTAACATTATTTCAATAACATTACCTCATATATGCTCGAGGTATAAATGTTTCCATTGTTTAAACACGTCATATCTACATGCTTATATGTGTATGGATATAGCTCTTAGACACAGTTAACATATGCCTCTATATTATGCATATTTGAGAGAGGTTAAGAATTGTGTGTGTTGTGGTACTGATAGTTCCCTATGTTCCAATTAATGTTTCTAAATTTTGTCCTTATGACCTGGAACTGTCTCCTGACTTGTATGGTTTTCTTGTTTCTGATGTCTTTGAATTTCTGAAGAGGACAGGCTAATTATCATGTTTAGTGTTCTACATTCTGATCAAACTAAACCTTTTTTTGCAAAAGATCAGCACATCCCATTTGTGCTTCCTACTGCATCCTGTCAGGAAGCAAGCTGTCCAAGAACAAAGCTACAAAATATTGAAGGAAACATACCATCTGTCAGCCAGGCTAGTAGTCCACATCGTGTCTGTAGTCCTTCAACCCAAACTGCAATGTCTACCATCTACCTTGACAGGAACTGAGTCTAGGTTTGCTTTTAATCCCAGCACCAGCTGCGATTATTACTTGCAGCCATAAAGCAGGATTTACTGCTGACTCGCCTGCTCAATATGATCTGGAGAAGGGAAGGAGAACCCACAGTGAACAAACCTAGAGCCAGGTCACTGGCAACACTGGATGTGCCCCATGTCTGAGCATGCTCAGAAACTACTCCCAAAGGTGAAATTCTGCTGTCAAGGAGTCTCTAGCTTCCACTAATGAAATGGTGCCATTATAGACATGTTTTCTGGGTGAGATATTTTAAATATTAGTAGGGCTTCTAGGGAGAGATGAGAATGAACTTAGTGCATTTAAAATAAAATCAAATTCTTTGCTATAGTTTACATTGGCTTATCTCAATCTCCCATACTCCTTTTTATTTTTTTGCATGACATAACAAAAGAGACAGAACCCAACTCTGCACTAGGAACTGGAGCCAAAGATAGGTAGATAAAGAACTTCAGGCTTCATGAATTGAGTTGTCGAGGCGCAAAAAGGAGGCAGTACCCACGGGCTTATCAGGAGAAGTTCTGGAGCCAGGCGGAGCCAGGTCAGAGGAAGTAGTGAGGCCCTGCCCCAGGCTCCTTGGTGTCGCCCAGGCTGGAGGGGGTGAGATGCCAGGGTTGAGCAGCCACTCCCCTTCATTCTCCCTTCATCTCAGAAATTTAATGTCTTGCTTTCATCCAAAGAGAAACTGGAACGCGAGTTCCCAAAACTCAATAAAAAACAAAAGCATAAAATACTTGAAACATAACAAAAAAAATTGAAATACTAACACCATATATTCTGTACTCCAACGTGCAAAGTTAACATTTTCCCATGTTTGCTTTCTCACTCTGGTTGCTCCACCATTTGAGAGCAACTTGCAGATGTCTCAACTCAAGATCACTGGTTGGGCAGCTATTGCTGCCTTGGAGTCTCGGCATCCCTTGGCGCCTCCCTCAAAACCAACTTCTGCAAGACCTGTCCTCCAAGGCCAGGGAAAGGCCTTGTGCTGGTGGAAAGGACCCCTTGCCCCTTCAAGAACCTGAAATCCATTCTCTTCAGGCTGTAGAGACGTTTCAGACACTGTTCTATGACCGTCTCCCCTAAGTGCGGGGCAGGTGCACCCTGGGCTTGCAGGAACATGGCTAGACTGTCACACCCCCCCCCACCCTCCGCAGCACCCTGGGACTCCTCTGGGTCGTCTTGCTGGGCAGTGGGGTCTTGGGGCAGCCTGAGCTCTGGAACCAGCTTCCTTGGGAGAGCCCCATGGGGAAGTGCGTCTGCCCCTTGGCTCTTGCCTGGGTCTCTGTGCCCTGCAGAGAGCAGAAAGGGTTCTGACAGGACACGAAAGGGAAGCATCTTTTCCTGTGGTGGGAGGGTGAAGAGAGCTGGTGGGCCATGAGTCAAGGAGAGGGGAAAGTTTCTGCAGAAAAATCAGCTGGTATGGGGGTTTCCTTGAGCGCGGGGTAGCTCCTCTCGTCTGCCGCCCCTGACTTCCGAGGCGGGGTAGCTCCTCTCTGCAGCGCGCTCCCAACCAGTCCATCCTAAAGGAAATCAGTCCTGGGTGTTCATTGGAAGGACTGATGTTAAAGCTGAAACTCCAATACTTTGGCCACCTGATACGAAGAGCTGACTCATTGGAAAAGACCCCGATGCTGGGAAAGATTGAGGGCAGGAGGAAAAGGGGACGACAGAGGATGAGATGGCTGGATGGCATCACCGACTCGAGGACATGGGTTTGGGTGGACCCTGGGAGTTGGTGATGGGCAGGGAGGCCTGGCGTGCTGCGGTTCATGGGGTCGCAAAGAGTCGGACACATACTGAGCGGTTGAACTGACAGACTGACTGATGGGGGTTTCCTTGTGTGTGAGTCATTGTTTTCCTCTTGCTGCCTTTAGAATTCTATCTTTGTCTTTCACTTTCTGTTTTAATGATGATATGTCTTGGTGTTGGTCTGTTTGGGCTCATCTTATTTGGGACCTCCGTGCTTCCTGTGCCTGGATATCTGTTTCCTTCTTCAGATTCGGGAAAATTTCAGTTGTTATTTCTTCAAATACATTTTTGACTCCTCTCTCTCTTCTCCTTCACAGATCCCTGAAGTTCCTTGCTGAAATTTAAATCTGGGGAAAATTAAAAAGGAGTTAAGTTAGTGGTCCAGATAATTAGTGGTCTCTGTGCCAGGTATAAGGAAAAAAAACTTAAGTTGACAATAAAGATAAACCTTGAATTTAAAAACTTGAAAGATTTCTAAAAATTGACATATAATGGCATAGAAAATATTTATGTTATATTTCTAGAGATGACTCCTTTTATGCATCACACTGGTTTAATAATTTTGGTCTAAATATTATTTTTACTGTCTTTCAGATTTCTCTAATACTGTAGAAAATATTGGGTGCAGAGTATTCTAGTTAATACATGCCTTGGATTTATGTTCTCTTCAAAATCCTCATGACACTGAATTGCCTAAGCTCCTTTTTCTGGTTCTACTGATCCAATAAAAGAACTTTCATTTCAATACATATTTAAGTTTATAACATTTAAAATTATGTGTTTCAGTAAGTTAAATATACCATCTAATAGCTATTAAATAGAAATTTACTTTTATAATTCTAGAAATCATTGTTATCATTATTCCACTTATAGGTTGGGGGTGAGTGTTTTTCGGTATTATTCAGTATATTAATCCAGCATGCATTTCTCTATTGTGATTCAGCTCAAGTTGCATTTTTAAGATCTATCATTATCTTTAAGTGCCTAGACTGACACTAAATTAATTAATGTGTAATTTTGCCTGGAGAATTTCTAATTAAGGTGTTAATAACAAAACCTTGTTTCTACATAATGCTCATGCATATTTTTATAGACTACAGAGTGGCCATAGATTAACAGGTTAAAAGGGGGTGTGGGTACAGGTTCAAAGGAGGACGTTGGTGGACACAGCCATCACGTCATTTGAAGAAGTGTAAAACACGTGGAATACGTGGGGAGTTTTTAATCTTAGTTACCTCCCTTCTAGATCTGGATTCGTCCATTTTTCCATTGTTCCTTTTGCTTCTTTTGTCTCAAACACTGCCAGTGCCCCTAGGCCCAGGTGGGCAGAGGAGCCAGGAACCACGGGCCTGGAACTAGTTGTGCTCCCACAGCCCTGACACTTTCTCATGCCTCCAGAAGGGGGCGCCACGGGCAGAGATTGGGTTTGCTGAGGATGCAGCATCTCTCCTGGAGCAGGGCCTGACACCAAGTACGTGCTCAGTGATCGAAGGAATTCAAAGTCAAGATCCTAGAAAGCTGAAGGGGAGGACAAGAATGTGGGTGGATGGGGCAGTTGAGTGTGTGAGGGACAGAGGCAGATAAAAATATACATGAAGAGGGTAGAAAGAATGTTCAAGCACTGGTTTTAAAGCCTAGGAGTTCGTGTATGCTTGTGAAATTCAGCAGAAGAACCAAGAGAGGGAGGGCCAACAACTCTTGGTATCCAGGTCTGCACAAGAAGCATTGGCAGGTGCAGGGTTCTGTTGCTTCCAACGTTTGGTCTCAAGTGGAACAAGTTTGTTTGTTTGTTGAGAAATAACCAAGCACTGTCAAGGAATCACACAGAGAGAGCTATTGGATTCCTAACCCAACTTTGGGTAGGAAGGTGACCAGTCCATAGATGGTGAGCATCCAAGAAGGCAAAAGTGCAATTCACAAATGGAAGGGAAGATGAATAAATATCTGGCACCAGTGATTATTCCCCTCGAATTGATCAGCTATTTGGCAGAAAGGAACCCAGGGTCATTCTGGTCAGTCTTTTCTGGACCCAGTTAAGTAGGTCGCCATCAAAACCAATATCAACGATTGAAAGACTTTCTAAACATTTTGGAAGTTATTAGCTGGACATATGCAATACAGTATCTCTGAGTAATGTCTACATTGTCCTTCTGTCTGTCATACCTCCTGCTTAGTTGAGTCAGGAGGCCAACACCCCTTATAAGAGTGTCAGATAGATGTAGAGAAAGCTTGTTGTACTAGAAAAAATATGAAGAAAAAGGATTTTTCATAGAGTTGGACAAATACGCTGGTCTATAAAAATGGTACATCTCCTTCAGAAGTCAAACTGGGAACACATGAAGAGATGCCTTCAGCTTCTGGTAAAGGCAGAGTGACAGAAATAAGACTGGCCTTTCTGCCCCAAAACTCACCCTACCCTTCTCCCCTGTCCCCCCCGAAAAAGAAAAAGATAAAAGGCATAAAATATCACTTTTCAAGACACTGGAAATCAGGCAGTGAGAGATGAGAAACAAACAAGGTGAGCCCTACCTTGGGCCCAGCTTACTGCTTTCAGAGTTTCCAGGCTGAGCACAAGGAGGGGATCTGAGGCCAATTCCTGGATTGTGGAGATGCTGCTGAGTGTCCATGGAGAGCAAGGCAGCTAGAGTTCATAGGACACATTTAGTGATGAGAGAGATGAACAGAGAGAACCCAGGCATTTGGAAAGCGTTTCTTTCAGGTAGTCAGCTGAGTTCTGATATGAGCATCTTTGTGGAGAAATGCCCGAGATGAAAAAAAGAAACCTTGGAAAAGATCATGGGACAGTGCCTGGTGTTCACATGGTACAGGCAATTGTACTCGCTCCCCAAGCCAGACGAGACTACTCACAAGGGTCATTGAGAAGAACACTCAAAGAAGATTGTGCCTTACTACTTGGATTAATCAGCCTTACAGTGATTTATCTTTAAAAAATCATAAAAGCCAGATTCAAAGAAATCAAACTGTTTACAAGTCACTTAATTCTATGCCAGAGCAAAATTCAAGAAGATTTATAGGAATACCAAAATAATCGGTACGTAGGAAGGTAAATTTTGGCAATATCTGGCAGCCAATCAAAGAATGTCAGGCCTGCAAAGAGGCAGGAAAACGTGACATAAGGAGAATAGTTAGTGAGCCAAAACTGAACCAGAACTGACGCAATGTTAAAATCAACAGAGAGGACTTTACAACAGTTACCATGACTGCATTACATATGTCCAAAGAACTGTCGAAACGTGGAACAAAAAAATGACCAAAATAAAACTTTAGAGAGGAACAAAAACTATAACTTCTGATATAATAAAGTCACCAAATGGAATTAAATAGACATGACTAACTGAAAACATCTGAAATGAAAATCACAGTTTAATATTTAATGCATAGTATCATTGAATGTTAGGACCATTTTAAGAGGCCTACCATGGGAGTGTTTGAAGCTCCTGAACAGAGGTGAATGATTTTTGAAGCAAAAAGAAAATATTCTAATTTTAATGAGAATTATAAAGCCACTGATCCAAGGAGGCAAGTACAATTGCCTATACCATGTGAATACCAGGCACTGTCCCATGATTTTCTTCAAGGTTTCTTTTTTTCGTCTCGGGCATTTCTCCACAAACATGCTCATATCAGAACTGCTGTGAAAATGGCTAGTTGCATGAGCCTCTCACAGGACAGGCAGACGGCGCGTTCCTGACTTCTCATCCGACTCCGTGTGTTGGGCCCAGGTAAGGGCCTCTCTGGTTGTATCCTCGCCCCAGGTCAGCCTTCCCCCCCGCATAAACTTTTCACACAGAGCTCGAAAGAGCTTTCCTGAGCGAGCCTACCACGAAGTCGGCACTAAACAAACGTACGACAGAAAGCCGCACCCACGCTATCCCGGGCAGGCTCCCAGTGTCACAAGGCCGGAAACAGGCGCGCGTTCCTCGACGGCCTGGAAAGACGACGCCTGTGCTCTCCCAACCGCCGACTGCGGCTGTGAGCATCAATCCCAGTAGTCGTTTCGCGGCTTTCGCATAATCTCGCCCCAATGCTCCGGAAGGCTGGCACGCCTGCCCCATTCTGCGACACTCCCGCTGCAGTATCACGAGTCCTCTTGTTCTATTCTTAGGACACAGAAATACCGGGGGGAAGCGCGAACGCAGTCCCCCACTACCACAAATTATGCAGTCGAGTTTCCCACATTTGGGGAAATCGCAGGGGTCAGCACATCCAGAGTGCAATGGATAAGCCTCGCCCTGGGAAAACCACCTTCGTGATCATGGTATCTCCCCTGCCAGGTAAGTATGAGCTGCCAGCCTGCCGCCCCACCTCAACCTCATACGCCCTACACTGTTCACACACGCTCACTTTACTCCCCGCGTCCCCGAGCCTTCTGGGACCTTCCACACAGCAGATCCACGCACTTCCAAGCAAAAAGTCCTGAATTCTCTCCCACGTCACGGGAGACCATACGGTGTTTAAGCACCAGATCACGGACCAGCAGCCCCTGCGCTCAGATATCTACATACGACACGCCCCATCCGTGACGTCAACGGGAACCCGCGCTTCCCTCCAGCCCACGCCCCGCC